ACCCAAAAGCTTGGAGCATGGTACAAAAAAGGCAGCAGGAAAACCTTATTAATTTCTCACTGTTTCTCTAGTAGATATAACCCTCTAGTACATGTAACAACACCTTGCCTGGCCTGCTTGTCTGTGTTGCTTGCTTGTCTGTGTTTCCTTCCCTGGCCTGCTTGTCTGCTGCCTACCTTCCCTCCCCCCCTCCTTTTAACCTGTTTAAAGACTTACAATTGTTGCCTCAATTCAGGTGAATCTTGAGGTGTTCCAAGTTGATTCAGAGCTCTCTGTATTTCCACAGCTATTATGATAGAAAATAAGTTTATAATCGCAATACATTTTAAAGCAAAAGAAGTTAATATAAGCAATTAGTAAGTTACAAATATAAAAAATACAGAAAACATTACTTGAGAAGAAAGAAAAGAATGATTTAAATCTAATTAGTGTGATAATGGATTAATTTTCAGGAGAAAACTGTGTGGGGATGTTAACAAGTGAAACTGCACTCATGATCCAAAAACACTATCATCTCTAGCATAGCACATCAGAACATTTACTACAATGGCATATAGACTTAATTCCACTGGCATAAAAATTGTGAGGAAAATAATTGCAACCATATTTCATTGGCATATAAAGTGAATACATCATAGTTAATAAATAAAGGTGGAATTACCAAACTAGAATAATTTTTCAATTATCTATGTAATAACTGATTTATCTTCAAAGGAAGATAAAACTGTAAGACAGCCATACAACCTCAAATTATCACCATACAGAGGAGACTAAAAATAGCCAACCTGATAAATTGTCTGCCTAAAACGAATGATCACATTTAGCATCACCAAGGAGCCAAACTGGTGTAATGAGTCTCCTGACAAGATGCAAAAACAATGGCACAACACAAGCTCGAATTTTTCTTGCCAAAATGTCTAATTTCAATCTAATCTTGAGAAAGAAATCAGAGCAATCTAGGTTATGGGATCACCTAATATATATATAATATATCTCAAAAAGTTGGGGAGAAAATACAAAGGTTAGGAAACTTTCTAAATTAAAGAACTAAAACACTCAAAAAACTACTATAAAACACTCAAAAGGCTGTATTTTTGACTACACTGTGAATCAGAAAAAAAGAAAATGCTATTTTAAATTAAAAACTTAGAGAACAATTGGAGAAAGTTGAATTTGAACTTGGAAACAGTAAGTAAACATGAAATATGTCAACAATTGGCAAACCCATGAGCAAGGTATATTAAAAGTTTGCTGTAGTATACTTTTACTTTTCTTGGGTTTAAAATTATAAGCCAGATGTTTAAAATTTATGCAAAGTTCACAACCCAGAAGCCTAAATCCAAGGCAATAAAAAAAAAATAATTCTTCAAAAAAAGAAGGTGCTATATATAGCTTTATGCCATTGTATACATGTACAACAAGTTTTAGAATAAAGTTGAGAAAATCCATCCCAAAGAATTTTCCCATTTCCAAGAATTAGAGAAACGAGATCCAACCCATCCATTCTTTTAAATTTAAAGTGAGTGGTTTATTCATTTAGCTTAAATGCTTAAAATCATTGTTTATGGGAGCAAGGAAATGAGTGTATTCCAAAATGCAGGATAATTTTTGATCATTCAGGATGATGTAATGACACTGTTCTCAAGTCAAAACTCAAAAATATAAATACTGGAGAAAACTGATAGGCCATACAGTAAAAGCTAATCACTCAGACAGGTTGAAAGGGTTTATTTGGAGAAGAGGAGTAAATTTATCTTCTATACAGTAGAGAAATTTTAACTTAATGCTACGTGAAATTAGTTACATATTTCCTTTTCAACATCAACAAACTTTCTTGGATAATCTTGTAGCAGTTTACAGCTTTTATTAAAAAAAAAAAAGTATGTTGATAAGAAACATTTAGTGTGGTCCTCTACAGGACAGAGGGGCAGTCATTTATCTCATTTCTAGAAGGACCACGTTTCTTTAAAAGTTATAGTGAGAAAAAATGAAATTATTTAATAAATGATTATCAGAACTGAGTAATCAGAAGGTATTAAAATAGAGACCTATTCTACACATACACCAAAATATACCTATAGAAAATTACTAATTTATATATAAAAATGGAAATCATTCAATTGCTACATGAAACTACAAATATGTATTTATCAGAAGCTCTTACTTATGATCTTGGAGGGATTAATATTATGTAAGTGCAATGCAAAACTAAAAGCCACGGAGGCAAATATGACAAATTTGACAGCACAATTTTAAATGTTAAATTAAAAACATGTACATTATAAATACATATAGCACACGCGTATATATACATAGAAATATCCAATTTTCTGTGACAGCATATAATCAGTGACAAATATCCTTAATAAGGAAAAGAAACACAATTGGTAACAGAAAAATAGCCAATGAAGAAAGAACAAAACAAAAAAATCCTGAAATTTACAACAAGCAAATAAATGAGAAATCCAGCTTCACTGATAATTACCTATTCATGTATTATACAAGAAAAACTAAGAAAAACAAGTAGATACGGAGGTAATTAGAATAATGAAAAAAGCTATCAAAGATTTAGAAACAAAAAGGACATATATAAAAAAGGAACAATATCCCCAATATATGAAGAACTATAAATAATTGAGTAAAGGCCAGATAATCCAGTACAAAATTGGGTTAAGAATAGGAACTTAAATAATAGTAACTGAGTGAAATAAAACAATACTGAAAAGTATATCAATCTTGGGTAGGATAAATAATGTATAAGCATTATATAAGATTGTTTACTCATTAAGACTAAGTGAGGAATGCAACCAGGTTTCTACCTGTGTGGAAGCTGAGAGTACATCTTGTCCTTAGGCCAGGCCAGGATAGTGTGATGACTGAGTTCCACAGTAGGATACCGACCAATACCACGTGAGAGGGAAGACTGTACATAAATTTTCATTAGCTGGAGGGGATCCACTAATACTGTTATCTTCAGCCACACACGTCTGTGAGTATGTGAGCTGGAGCAGTGAGGCGCAAGTTTGGAAGACCAAGTTACTCCAAACTACTGAGGTGCTGAACTGAGACAGAAGGAACACTGAGTGGCCCTAATGTAGAAAGCATAAATACCAACTGCAGCAGTGTTTCCAGTCACAGACAGGCAATCACTGCCCTGTCCATGTTTTCTTCTTTGCTCTGTAATGTGTGTTCAGCTATTTTTACTACTTATCTCCTTTCCTTATCACATCCTTCACTATTTGATGTAGGTATACTGCCTGCCAGTAGGAACGCTCACACTCTGGTCCACAGGATGAACATATTGCCATTTACGCTCACTGAAGCAGGATGAATGGAAATGACCTGCTGGACATGTCACTGAGATACAAGAACTGACCAGATTTTGACTTTACCCCTTTTGAGGACATGGGAGAGGAATTCTGCTCTTTGAGGGGTAGTAGTGTTTTACAGAGCAGGGGCTTAAAAAAAAAAAAAAAGTGTAAGCATAAAAAAAGTCAATATAGGGCCCTCCCTGGTGGCGCATTGGGTTAAAGCACAACAAAGAGAAGCTTAAACCACTTCCGCATGAGTTCGATTCCCGCCTGCCCCGGAGGTGATCCACATGGCGTGGCAGACCTCTCCTGACCCACCCGCTGCTCCCCTCGGCAGTGTACTTTGTTGATCTGCCTGTTCTGTACCCCACTCTGTCTCTGGTGAATCCTCTAACCCTCCACATCTCTGACCTGTACCCCAGTTCTGTACAAATAAATAAATAAATCTTTTTTTTAAAAAAAGTCAATATATTGGTTATAGGAAACAAAAGGCATAAAGGGTATTTTTGGCCACCTAATATCCTGAATCCTTTATTATACTGGGATCTTTTAGGTTATAACAGGACCAGCCTTTGGGTTAAGATTTCATTGTTAAGGCAACACCATTGTTTTAAAAGTCTTTGAGTTTTGCTTATTTCCATTATGAGCAATACAGGTGATTAATACCTTAGTATCAATCACCCCCCCCCCAAAAAAAAAGCCCAATTCTTAAACTAGTTACAATCAAAAGATTTATTAAGTATTGTTTAAGTAAAGATGCTGAAATTCCTTGTAAGTCAAAATCTTTGGCTGATAACTTTTTCACTCTGACACATTTATTTCATTTATTTTCAAAACACAGTATCTCACAAAATGAACTTTAAAGAGTGCTAAATAATTTTCATGAACACCAATATAAGAAAAGGTCCCCTGTACTTAAACAGCATACAATATAGCAGTGAAGGGATCTATAAAAATATGTCAAACAAGGACCTGCAATATAGGCAAAATGGCAGATAATCCAAAATGTTGTAATAGAAGCAGCACTTGCAATTGTTCTGAAGTGTAAAAAAAGATCCCTTTAATTTGGAGATTCAAACCTGTAAAAGAATTCCTAGGTATAGAGTGAAATGATGGGTTCCTACTGGTCTCCCTGACTAGAAAGTAAACTTGAAGAGAAGGACTTCCATTTTTTAAAATCTTCTAGAACCCATCATATTGTAGACATCAGATGAATACTTCAAAGACTGAGCCACAGGAAACACTCAAAAGATCGAAACTGATGTAAGAGAGGATTTGTATTTCTAAAACACAGGTATACATAGAATGCTTATTCATCTAACGTTTACTAAGCATCTACTAGGTACCAGGCATGGTCGAGGGTTTTGAGTATCAACTTTGATTAAATTTCATTCCTTTAACTTGCATAGCTCTAAATTTTAGGATCAATTAGAGTATCATCTGATCAAATGATAAAGGGCCTATGTGAACATAAATTTGAATTATCAAGTCAAATTTAGGAAAAATATTTTGTGACATTTCAATCCCCATATTTTTTAATAAATGAGGAAGCTGAGAACCAGACAGGATAATGACTAATCCAAGAAACCATAACTACTTATTAGTAGAAGAGCCAGGATTATAATGTAGAATTCTTGGTTTGCAAAAATATATTTTATTGTACTAAAAGGGCTAAACGTAAAAGGTATTTTAAAAGACTACTTGATAATCCACGATATTATCAAGTGTGTATGATCGTTGCCAAAGCAAACAAAAGAAAAGTCAGTGTGTGCAAACTTGAAGAATAATACAAAGGAAGAGAACTAGGAGGCTTCCTGTTTCAAGCAGGATTTGAAGTAAGAGTTAGGCTCACCTGCGGGTTGCATGCCCCTCCTTTTGCCCAGTTAACCCTAATCAGAAAACAAGTGCCTGTCCTGTCTTCATGTCTTATGAACTGGCAAGATTCCAAAGACATCATTTTACATGTGAGTAGCAC